GAGTGTGGGTGTGGGTGGGTGTGGGTGTGGGTGTGGGTGTGGGTGTGGGTGTGGGTGGGGTGTGGGTGTGGGTGTAGATAAAAAGGGATACATTCACACCCACACCCGCTCTATCTATTCGATAAATCTTTCGATTTTCTCGAGAATTCATTTGAATTTGTATAGATTATGATATCTTGTTTGTGGTTTTTTGATCATTTGAATATATATTCGTAGTTGAAGCCGTCTGATGAGTCCTCTAGCATGGACGAAATCATGATTACGGTAGCTTGATTCATGCTCACCCTAACCCTCAAGATTATAGAATAACCTACCTTTGAGTGTAGAATAATAAACTCTTTTCCTTTACTATCATAATCATAAAATCTTCTTATTTTCTATACCATTCGTTTCCTAAACTCTTGGAGTTATAAACTTGTAAAGATTCATGAAACATTTTAGTTATGGAATATTTTATTATCACACGATTTCTTTTAATGCACTCAGAATTTTAATCGAAAACTGGTTTCATGTTAGCTTCTTGAAGAAATACTTTCACCTGAAAAGGCATTCATCATTTATACTCGGATATTCGAGAAATACTTTGCATCGTCCTCACTCAACCTGGATATCCATTCGGCAGACTTTTATCATAGATAGTCAACGCTCGTTCAAAATAGTCAAGTGCTAAATTGAGTTGATTGAGATTTTCAAAAGTGACTCCGATACCATGCAAAATATGACCCACTTGTTGATGATTCCGTGGAAAACATTTTCTTCGCATCATTAAAGCTTTTAGTTTGTAATCAAGTGCGAATGAGTATTCACGTATATGGTCATATGTAGCACCCAAATCGAATAGGCTCCAGGCGATGTCTGGATGATTACGTGGCAGTAGTTGTTCTTGCATTCGAAGAGACTTTTTCTTATACTCGATAGCACGATCAAAGCGGCCTTTGTAATAGTGCACATTTCCAATACCTTTAAGACTCATAACAATATCGATATGATCAGTACGATAGTGTTTCTCTTGGATTACGAGTGCCTGGTGATAGTAGTCTAGAGCTTCATCATAATTTTTGACGGCACCGAAAATATCTCCAATTAGAGTGAGGCGCTGAGCAATGCGATTAGGAGAGTGAGAATAACATTTCTCTTCAATAGAAAGTGCACGCTTGTAAAAATCAAGAGCTTCATCATGCTTCCTCATCAGTCTTAGTGTACTACCAATTTGAGAAAATGTACTTGCAATTTCAGCATTGCCAGACGGCTGATATTGTTTCAGCATCGTAAGCGATTGTTGATAGAAATCAAGAGCTTCATCGTACTTATTTTGACTATCTAAAATGGCACCAATGGAGCATAAACTAATGGCAATTTGATCGAGTGAAGAGGGGGAATATTCTTCTTGAATTTGAATTGCAGATTTGTAGGACTGAATGGCTTGATCGAACTTTCCTTGTATATTTAGGATGAATCCAATCTTTCTTAGGCTGAAAGCAATATCGTCACTCTTTGAGGGATAACCTTTCTCTAGAATAGTGGTTGCTCGTTTAAAGAACTCCAGAGCTTCATCATGCTTGCTTTGACTGCTTAAAACATTACCAACATCAATTAAACTTTTAGCAATGTCGAAATGATCTGATGGATGATATCTTTCTTGAATTGTCAGTGCTTTTTGATAGAAATCCAGGGGTTCATCGTACTTCTTTTGACAATCTAGAATGGAACCAATGGCAGCTAAAGTCTGAGCAGTGTTAATATCACCAGATGGGTAATATTTTTCTTGCATTACGAGCGCTCGTTTATAGAAGCCGAGAGCGTCTTCATACTTCTTTTCGGTGTGCAGAATGTATCCGATCTCGTTTAGCATAAAAGTTGAGTCCCTGATTCGTGCTGGTTGCATGTTCATCATTCGATCATAAGCTCGTTCATAATATACATTTGCTTTCTCCCAATCTCCTTTTTTATGGAGAGCAAAGCCAATATAAAACTCAATCCAAGCGAGATTCTTACCGTTTGAATTGGGCAATAGTTGTTCAAAGTATCTTTTTGCTTTATCGTACTGCTTCATGTCACAGATATAGCTTCCAAATATAATGACGCTACTAAGTCCTTCTACCCGAGAATGTCTCTCCTTAATATCATCTTGAGTAATAGCTTGTCCATCATTGCAGGCGTTTATTTGGATGATGCACAATTCACCATCTTCTTGAACACCCTCGAGCCGAAATACAGCATTGAAATCGAATAAAACTTCTTCCTCGCCAGGAAACTCACTGAACGAGGAAATATCCGCAAAAACCACGCTACCACTACGCTGTTCAATACTACATTTGATCTCAAAAACCACAGGAACAGCATTGCTTCTTTTCTTATGCTTTGTAGCAATCGTGACTGCCAATGAACGACATCGACTTGTCAACAAATACCCATTAAATATGATTAAATTACCGTTGCTCTCTTTGATTTCACGCAGCTCATCACTCGACAATTTGGTTCCTCGGTAGACGGTTAAAGTATCTTTCCCAGATACAAGAATCTTTTTATATTCGTGAGCGAGTCTTTTCGATAGATCGTTGATAAAACACCTGAATAGAAGAAGCCATTCAATATCTTTAGTATGCAATGCTTTGTTAATCATGTTGAAGATAAATGACTTTTTCGAATACCAGAAAATGGCATTTTCAGATCGATATTCGTTCTCAAATTCGTCGACTGACACCAATCGTTTCAGATTGCCTCGATAATACTGACGGCAAGCATTGTTCATAAGTATTTTTGTTCTAGAATTACATGGGAAATACATGAGAACGTCATTCAGGAGTTGAAACCATAGAAACTCCGCAGATTGTTCTGGGGAATGGTATGTTCGCATCTGAATCGGATCAAAGATACTGAAGGTCAGTAATTCTTTGTTGATAAGTTCGACTTGTTCTTCAACCGCTGCAAACAACTTGTCATAGTCCATATAGATGCCAATGACTTTTGAATACTCATGCAAATAATAGTCTTCCTCGGTTTGTCTCATGCTTAAAATGAAGATAGAATCTACTTGGTGTAAATTGACAATGTGTGGTAATATTTCAGAAGAGAATGTATTTGAAATAATTAGAAGAACTTTTTCTTTGTCAACCGACCGAATGTAATTGAAACACGGCTCATGCTCAGTGTGTAATATGACATATTGGTTAATTGTACGGAGTTTTTCCTCCAGCCAATATATGGTGTCACTTGAGCTCAGATTAGGATCAAACCAAACAACACGTGTGATTTCTTTGTTGCTATCATTGTCTGCCAGTACGAACTCGTATTGAGAATTTACATCACTTGCTGTGTTCGATGATGATGCACTTTCCACCATGCTCATTCAATATCAACTTCTTGATAGCTCCCTATGAAAACGGCTCCCAAACAAAGAAAGGTAATGTATTGCGATAAGAATAAAAACAAAGCGCAGCTGCTGATAACACTAAAATCATAAACTGTCATCACTTCTTTATCTTCCTAATTCCTTTCAGTGAATCGAGCTGGTTTTTATAAAGCGAATTTTCGACAGGTCTATGTATAAAGTCCGATCTAAAGGATTACAATATCAAGTGCAATTAGAATGTGCGCGTTTGCGGGCTCTCCATCAGTGCTTAAAAATCATACCCAAAGGCATATCTGGCTACAGGATCATCCATATATAAGCACACCCACTTACGTTACCTACATTCCAACTACGTTGATGCATACGCTCCAACTGTAATCACATCCAATCACATCAACTAAACGCTCATACACAATATCCTCAAGTTCTTATACTTCGATAATCTTAAGTGTGCTGATCCCGAAAATCATATATCTTTACGAAAGGATTCCGATGATAAGAAAGATCTGAAGCACTCAATCGAAGCCTTAAAAACAATTTTTGACCTATAAGTTAGTAAGTTTTGCTTCATTTTCATCAAAAATAGTTCCGTTCGGTGCAGAACTATTTTCTCTATCGGAAGTTTTGAGAACTTCTAAGAAATTACGAGTTTTTTTGCATAAGTAAACGAGAAATACGGCGAGAATTCGGTAATCTTTTTTTCGTCTGCACTAATATGATTTCTTTGGAATAAGCAATTCTATGTAGTCTTGGTTACTACATCATTTTACCTTGAAATTCGATGTCTAAAGATTTGCTTTTCATATCAGTACTCAAAATCAAAGCAAATTCAATATTTTTATAAAATGCTTCGAATATAAGAATTCGGCGACGATTTTTTTTTGTTTTGACAGAGATTGTTGAGTTGTATAGAAAAATATAGTTTTCATTTTTTAAAAGCCTTTTTTCGTAAAAAAAAGCATGCGTGAGTTCCACAAAATTGTAAATACCGATCTTGAGGGTGTGGGGTGTGGATGTTGGTGTGGGGTGTGGGTGTGGGTGTGGGTGTGGGTGTGGGTGTGGGTGTGGGTGTGGATGTGGGTGTGGGTGTGAGTGTGGGTGAACTGAACATATACACTAACGCTCCACACCCACACCCACACGCACACCACACACCCACACACCCACGCACTCACATTCACCCACACCCACACCCACAGCCACAGCCACACCCCACACCCATGTGCGTGCAAATTGTGGATCTCAATGGTCTTGAGACATGCACATTGTATATAAAAAATATAAAGTGCTCTCATATGTGTGTGTGTCGTTATCAATCAAAATAGTATAACTACAGATAAAAGAAGTCTTTTATCATGTTTTATGTAGTATATAACGCAACACGTTGTATCTTCTAGAATCAAAGAAGCAGGTCTGTTAAAAACAACTTTGAAATCAATCGTGATCCCTTTTACCGGTGGTTAGTTGAAGAGAATACCATGGAACCTAGTGAAGATCTTCACATATTAGGTATGTTATCATATGAGGATTATTAATTATTCACATCTCGTAGAATTCATAAAAATTGTTCGCAGTTGTAACATAGATATTTTAGGAATCGACTAAAGTCAAGATTAATAAGTAGGAGCATCATTTTCGCTTGTATGAGCTACGCTATTCGGTTAAAAGAAAAGGAAGTTATGTGAAATGTTTTGAGTTTCTGCCTTTTTACCCAGAAAGCAGAATCTTCTAAAAAAGATTGTGAGCCAAGTAGAAAGGCTAGACAAAGATTAGTTCCGGCATTTTTCATGGAAAAATATTTTTAAAGGGTTCTGCTAACATAAAAAGCATGCAACCTAAATAGGTTTTGTATAACGACTTGTTTGAGAAAAGAGGTCACTACTGTTACGTTTGAGTGTAGACTGAAGCCTGAGACTCTCCTACGTTGGCAGCTTTTACTATGTCATGACCTGTGTTAAACTTACTATCATATCAAACTTCCCATGTGACTGTTGTGGAAATAATGGATGCAATTACATGATAATGCATTGCATTTGTAAACTGCACATTATAATGCATTATCCGTGAAATAATGGATTGAAACTAATAAATAGCTTGTATTATCATGTAATTGCATACCCATGGCGTAAATTTCCGCGGAAAAAACGCGTTTTCAGAACGTGTTTCTTCATAGGTTCGAAACGCGTTAATGCTGACCGGTTTGACGAGTTTCGCATCTGCCAAAACGAACGCTGCGAAATGATCGACTTTTAGAAGCGTTATACAGCGTTTTTCACTTTTTAAATTAGGAGTTTTAAAAAATTTAAAATGAAAATTCATCAAATTTAGAGCATGGTTTTCTCTAATGATTTGATCGTTCATTTTTCTTCACTGAGTTTATGAATTATTATTGTGCTCACTTACGCAATTTTTTTATAAGGCGCAGAGATGGATTCGAACAAGGGATGATAATGTTAAAAGATAAGTATACAAACCACTGATCTAAAACAGTCGAAATATTGAACTGTTCATTTTCTTCTGGTTCAGTTCGAATACTTGAATCCGATTAAACCGACTTTTATTTTTTTTAAAATTAAAATTAAAAAGATTCTATGCTAGTTATTATTCTTAGAAAATCTTGAAGTAAAAAAAGGAAAGTCAATTTTCATCAAATGAATTAAATCCTCTTAAAACAGTTCGTCGTATTATTTTTCACAGTAAGAAAAAGAATCATACGAATCGATATCCTTTTCTTATCAGCGATGTT